AGCACCAACTTCCAGAGAGTGGGGTGTGTGTGGATACTGAGCTCTGAGTGTGTACTGCAGCATCGCTGCAGTTTGGTGAGCCTTCACCCCAGAAAGAACTAGTAAATGATTAGACATGCAAGACTGAGTATTTATTACATATCTTCTGTGTGCCCAGCTCTGCTCTTGGGACTGTGGAAAACAGTCCTTGTTCTTAAAAATTTTTTAATGTTTATTTTTGAGAGAGAGAGAGAGAGAGAGAGAGAGAGAACGAGAGAGCACGAGGGAGAGAGCGAGAGAGAAAGAACAAGTGCATGAGTAAGAGTGAGCAGGGGAGGGGCAGAGAGAGATGGAGACACAAACTCTGAACAGACTCTAGGCTCTGAGCTGTCAGCACAGAGCCCGATGCAGAGCTTGAACTCACAAACCCGTGAGATTATGACCTGAGCTGAAGTCAGATGCTTAACTGACTAAGCCACCCAGGCGCCACAAACAGTCCTTGTTCTTAAAGAGCAAGACATTCAAAAAAAACCATCAAGGAGACTTGATGCACCATGGAGGCCTGAGTGGTGAGACATCATGGAGACTTGAGTAGTGAAGCATGGAACACCCATTTAGTTTACCTGAGTTGCCATTGTGGGTTGGCATCAGCAGGGGAAGATTTGTGAAGAGGTCCCTGAATTATGAAGAACTTGATGTGTGGAAAGTGAAGAACATTGCACGAGTTCAAAGTTTCAACTGGTTTCACCTAAATTCAGAATCTTTGGAAGCAAAATGGGCTTGTATTCTCTTGTAGAGTTGATCCAATAACCTTGAGATGTTTTTAAAGTTTTCTACTGAATTTTTGCCAGCCCTTGAGTTGCATTTGATTATGACTAGCAGGCATGATAGGAAAGTATCACGGTTACACTCAGTCATCGTGGGGTTGTTACTCACCTTCTGCATGGTCTTCCTTCATTCTCCAGCACGTACTACCTACAGTGTCCTGCAGTAGTTTTGTTTCTACAAGTTATTACAGGGTGTTTTTGTCCTGGGAGGGGGGTTTCTAGATTTAGATTGCACACAGAGGAGGCTGTGTGCATGCTCCTCACTCTGTCTGGCATCTGGAAGAGTACCTGTAAAGTGGCCGGCACTGAATATCTGCTGCTGAATGAGATGGGCAGGGATGGGTTTGGAGAACCACATGACCCATCTTTCTTCTCAGTTCCTCACTCCCTTATTCCTGTTCCTATTGGAGCTGAGAGGATGAAAATTAAGTCAATGTTTGGTTTGTTAAATAGAAGGAAGAATTGAGGCAAGATTGCAGCAATTTGCCTTCTCCTTCTTCCAGTCAGACCAAACAAAGACTAAATAGACAAGAATGAAGTAGATTGGATTGAGATGCAGTAGGAACAGAAAGGGTCATGCTGAGCATCTGTAAAACACATGTTCATCCAGAGGTGGTACGTGCAGCTTTGCTCCAGGTGGTTGTTGTCATAAAGGAGTTCAGAAATAGCATTGTCACTTCTTCAGATTTTAAGAGAACTCGCAGTCCACTTTTTCATCAAAATCCTGATTCAAAACAAAATGCTGGCCATATTTTTTCAGACACTGAACAGCGGCAAGGTAGGAATCTTGAGGTAGCTAGACTTTAAAAAAAATCTGTCATGTCTAAAAGAGGGGAGGCCAAGTTGACTTTCAGAGATGAGGGTTCGTGACGGGTTCTCTACATTCTTTTCAGCAGCCTATTGGTGATAAGCATAAGGAGAATAGCCATGGCCATAGGAAGGATGCCCTATTCCTTCAACATTGTGACTGATGTCCTGTTTGCTCATGTTGGCATACTCAAATCTATTTAAGACTTTGTGGCTAAGAGGGCATTGTGCAACTGGAAAGAGGAAGTTAGTCCTTGGTGAATGAAATCATTAGAATCAAAAGCTGTGCTTTCCTTTGATTTCCAACGTGGTTGAATGTGTACAGAAGATGGTGCACAAGATGGTGCACAGGGTAACATGTCCCATTTGCTGTCCTGTGACCGCTGATGCTTGATTGATGATTCATTCAGGTACTAACAAATATGAGCACCTACCTATGAGGTGTCAAGCAGTATTCTAGGTGCTGTGGATACAGCAGAAGACAAACCACAGTCCCTGCCCTCAGAGAGTGCACAGCTAGCATTTGCCACACCTGCTGGGACTCCTTTGAAAAGCCGGTAACACTATTCTTTCTCAGCTCTCAAAGTTATGCCATTGCTTGAACTAGGTGTCAGAAGAGAAGTGGCAATTGAGGATGTCAAGGGAAACTAGGTAGGGGAAAAAAAAAACTTATTTTTCTGGGATAAAAACAAGAAGTTCCAAGGTGGTCTTGGACCAAAAATCCTGGCAGATTTTGTTTCCAGGGAGCCTCCTGTGGCCTGGTGGCTCCCACTGGCTTCAGCATTCTCCGAGTATGTTTCTCCCTACTTTGCTTTGGGACAACTTTGGAACCAATGCGGAGTCCCTGGATGTCCTGTTGAAAATGCAACCTTGTGTTTAGTCCTTAACTCAGAAAGCACTGAGGGATAAAGAATAAAATTTCTTCACTGCAGGCTCACTTCGTTGTACATACTATTCACAGCCATGTCATTGAGTGTAGTAGCTGTAGTGGAAGATTTCATTTTGCCCTAATTTGAACTATCTGCATTTAATTCTGTCCAAGAAGTGAAGGCTATTGGACCAATTACTAAGGATGGTCCAGAGACCATTCTGTTATTTATTTTGTGTTGGTACATTGTTAGCTAAGTAATCACATAGATAAATGATACCATTGCCTCTTATCTCCATTTTTTCAAGAACTCTTGTGAAGTTAGGCTCATATCTCAGTGTTAGAGAGATTTACTTCTGGACTATTTGGTCATGAATTCATGAAAGAGAAGCAATGTCACATGACTAGGGAATTACACATCTTTTAACATGTCAGGGTCTCTGTAACAAACCCAAAATGCTAAGACTTATCCAGATAGGAAGTTAGCTTTGGGATTCTGGTTTCTTCAGAGACTCAAGGGATGAGTTCTTATTCCTGTGATTTATATTTCTGGGCTTACCACACACCCTATCACACAGCCAAATGTGACCTGATGCTCATAATAATGAAGGAAATGAACAAGTTTTTATTTGCCCTAGAGAGAAACCTCAGTCTTGATGGAATCCCAGGACAGTACCGAAACAAACATGGTAGAACATCAGGATGCCAAGGCAGAATTTATTAATAGAGGAAAGAAGGCTGATTGCTTCTCTGTTCAGTGAAGTAGATTCCTCTTAGAAATGATGAGATAACCCTGCATATTCTATTGCCATAACTTGGCAATACACTAATCATAATACATTTTAATTTAACAAATTCAGGAGTTTGCCAAGAAAATCAAACAAAAAACAGCAAATATCAGAAATCTATCAATGACAGGTTTCTTTAAAAACAGCAATTTCAATCAAGGAAAAGCTTAAACACATTTTTATAATCTAGCAGGCCAAAGATTATTAGGAATATATAATGTATGCCCGTATTCAATCTATGCATACATATATAAATATGTGCAAACACACATTTAAATGCAAATAAAAGCTTTGTTTTCACATTTTGGATACCTCATTTCTCAGTAAATTTATGAACTTTCTCTTGAATTGTAGTTTAGCCCATCACATATCCCTAAAGTCAAATTTTTTAGCTATATAAACTTAATATACCATCATTTAATACCCAGGTAAGTATACATGATTGAGTTGCCAATTCAGGATAAACACATTTCTATCAAGGACTATGGGTCAGAAATCTGTAACTCTTAGATGGGAAGCTAGAATATCTGAATTCTGATCCTGGTTTTACAAGAGAGGCTTTTGAGACTTTTTTTTTTTAACCTTTCAGGGATCTGAGTTTGCTCATTATGATTTTGGTGTAGGTGGAGAGGCAATTTCTGTTCACTTGTGATATCATACGAATGCAGCCTAGCCCCATTATTCATGTAAAGTAAATTCTCTGTACATGTGTTCTGCATTGATACTGAATCTTCGTTGGGAACAATGCATCCAATTCAACAATCATCTTTCTTTTCTTTCTTTCTTTTTTTTTAAAGTAAACTCTACCCTCAATGGAGGGCTCAAACTCATGACTCTGAGATCAAGAGTCACATGCTCCACCAACTAAGCCAGTCAGGTGCCGCATCAGCAATCATCTTTAATGGACATGAAATATGTGACCCTATGTAATGGATCCAAGCCCCTTTAATATTTGTAAGGGGACAATTACTACCAAAGGCAGTACCTATGTCATGAAGTGGTTATGAGGACTGAATTAATCAATGCAATGCACTTATTATACAGTTGGGTATATAGTGAGTGCTCCAGTTTTAGTGATAATTACTAGTACCACCACTGCTATATGCCTGGTTCTGGGCTAGAATGAAAATTAGAACAGCCATGGTCTCTGGCCCTGTTGAATTAATCATGTAGTGTCTGATTGCAAACCTCAGTGCCTACCAAGCTAGTCAGGACTAACAAACGTAAGAGGCAGGGCTGGCTTCTGTGCTGCCTGGACCTCACATCTGGTTGGAGGGCAGGGACAACATGGCCCCACAAGTCGTTGCCTTCTGGAAACGAGGACTGTTGTTGCCAAATCCTGCTTTTTAGGGAAGGTTAGAAATTTGGGTCTTATGTGAAATCTCCCAACTTCTAAGCACTGACAACGAATGCCAACTGCAAACAAACAAGTGAGCGAGGGACTAAAAGGCCCTGCAGCCTGGAGGGTTCCTGGAGCTGTCCGTTGACAACTTCTGGACATGTGGTTGCAGTAAGCCCCCAGTCATCACTTTTCTGGGTGCGGCACAAACAGGATGAGGGCATCCTCCACGAAATGCACAGAATTTTTATAAGCTGAGAGTCTGCAGGGCAGAACCGAAAGGGACTCCAGTGACCACAGAGGCTCAGCTAGGCCTGGGGGGAGGGCTGCTGCGGGCGGCTGGAGGACAGTTACCTTCTGCCAGAGAACACAAGGACACTGTAGAGCACAGGTGGGTGAAGAGTTTAACACAATTTATTTTATGCTTAAATAATCGACTAGGTCATCCAGTGTATGGTTTTTCATACATGTCATTAGAGCTATGTGTCAATGAATGCTGATTTTATATGAATATAATCAACAAATTAAAGGATTTCACCAAAACCTAAATAAAAATGCCCTTTAAAACACAGCAGCCTTATTAACCTAATATGACACTGCTAGAATGGTTACAAATGATTGGCTTATTCAAAGGTGTCTACATCTTATAGCCAGTACACGATACAGTAATAATTGTACAGCGTGCTGCCATTCTACGAGCTAAGAATTTCTGTTCAGTCCATTTTAAATACCCCCGACTGGGGCCTCTTATGAGCACCATCCACCTCTAAAGCGGCAAGCATTACCCCCTTTTAAGCACTAACAGCACCCCCCGCCCCCTAAAGCAACTACTGTATAGGTTATTTTTTTTTCATTTTTAGGTCATTTCATTGAAAAATTGGCAATAGCAACAAATATTAGATGAAGGGCTTTGTGTTTACAGATAAAATCTTCTGTGTTGCCGTTTACTGTAGTGTTTGCAAAATTGGAAAAGATTTAATCAAAATAAGGTGATACACATGCATCAAAATATTAGTATTCTGAAGAAAAAATTTTTTCACAGAACTACAGAATTCCTCATTTTGGGAATTATTTAAATTTGCAGCAGATTTTAAAGATTTGTTTTTGTTTTTTTAAAATCAAGCTAGCAGTTTTGCATATACAAACATTATAATTGCTAATATACAAGAATCAGTGAAGATCCCCCCACCCAGAGCCCCTCCCTCCTCTTCTAGGGTGAAGTCACTGGAGACCCCTAGTATGTTAAATGCATTTGCAATATTCTGTTTGTGTTCTAAGAGGCAGTGCCTTATCAACATTTATTCTATTTTTCTGTTAGAATTTATACAGTGTTATTATTTACAGCAAAACTATAGATGTTTTAAAAAAGAAACAAATAGTGTTTATACCCTGACAGTTTGGGTCCAAGAAAAATAAGGCGAGCTGTTGTGGAGTTAGTAATTTTAGTGTTTCTCTGTGATTTCATCATCCCATCTTCTGTCCCTTCTGGCGGCAGGAATTTCTTCCTTTTTTAAATGACACCAAATTACTTAAGATAAACTGTTAACAGCATGGCTTCTTGTATATACACTGCATTGCTAATTGCACACGCGCCAATCCTGGGAATGAAAGTGAATTTCCATGCTCTGTAAATTGGCTCATGCTAAATTAAAATGTGGGTAGATTTCTTTTTTTTCTTTTTGCATTAAAAAAAAATCATGCCATTAATGTGTGGAAGCAGCAAACACACACACCCTTCTCCATGAATTTTTACTTCCTGCTGACATCTCTTCCATGACTTCCTCAATACTGGCAGTAAAATCACATGATCCTGTGGAAAGTCAGACAAGAAGGAGTGAGGTTAGCTTGCTTCTTTTCTTTCTTTTCTTTCTTTCTTTCTTTCTTTCTTTCTTTCTTTCTTTCTTTCTTTCTTTCTTTCTTTCTTTCTCTCTTTCTTTCCTTCTCTCTCTCTCTTTCTTTCTTTCTCTCTCTCTCTCTTTCTTTCCTTCTTTCTCTCTCTCTCTCCCTCTCTCTCTCTTTCTCTCTCCCTTATTCCTTTTTTCTTAGAACTTGCCTAAGCCTTCCTTCCCATTCAACAGAAAAGCCTTAGAGAATGAGGCCTCTACTTTCTAATGGGGTGGTTTAACACAATTCTTTTTACCAACATGATCTGCTAGGACAAAGCCCTGAGGTGTACTCGAAAGCTCTTTGAAGGCAGTGACTTTTTCTAGGTAACCCTGTGATCTCCAAAGGACACTGCTCACTGTATTTGTGGTTTTTGAGATTGTATTGGAAAAGACCCTCTTCTAGGGCTCTATCTAACGATTAGGTCACTCAGGTACTTGGGAAAGCCATTTACAGCCCTTTGGGCCTAGTCTTGTCTATAAAATGAGGCTCACAGAGGTGCTGTGTGGGATTTCCATCAACGTCAAAATATCAGGAGGGTCTGGGGGCCTCATGAGCATAAAGAGCCAGGGATATTGAGTCAGATTAGAGCATTTCAGGAATGTCTGTATTTTTTATAAGGGCTCATTCCCCAAAGTGCAACTCATCTTTCAGAAAGGGAGAACGGCATCATTACTTCATTACTCTGAAATTGCTTTTCCATGCACAAATTAAAATGAAAGACTGTCTCCCATCACTGCAAAGAATACTTTCCCTCCTCCCGCCCCACATCAGTCACGACAAAATCGATTCATTATATTTGAGCTTCTTTCTGGAGGCTGAGAACATCTTGTCTTACTGAGTAATAATTGCATAAAGTCTGTGTGTTTTATAACCAGTCTTAATATGGTCAAAATAAATCAGTCCTTTTTGCTATTGAACTCTTTCTTCATAAAACAAAGTTTTCCTACATATAGTTCATTGTCCTCTATCAGTGTGAAGTGACAGACCTGAATTCTGGCCTGAAAATGAATCCCAGCCCCTGTAGAAAACCCGAGGAAGGCAAAAACACAATGTAGGAATAACTGTGTCCACTCCCTAGTAAGCAGCAGACCCTTTGTGTAGGCCTAGAAGCACCTGCAGAACTGGGCTTCTGTTGGGGCTCAAGGGTGTCGTCAGTGACCCTGATGTTGTTTTCTTATACTGGACAAGTTTCTGTCTCTTTAAGAGGGATCGCCCAGGACACCTCGGCTTATGTAAACATGTTAGTACAGTACTTCCTCTGTCTGCTCTACTAGTTCTTGCTTCCTTTTTAGTGTTCAAAGTGCTACTCGCCAGCATGCCCCAGGTCACTAATGCTCAGAGCCAAAAACATCAAAGTGTCAATTCCTTCTGGGGTGATTTCAGTATCTGACCTCCTTCCCATGACTCTGTAAAGGTTGTAGAGAAGGAAAGTGACTTATTGGGCAGGCCATGCCCCAGAAAGTGGACAAATAAATCCAAGTAGGATCAGGATTTTCTCACCTCCGTTACCACTTACACCTAATCTTCTGGGCACCAGGGTTCTTAGATGACCCTATGATGATGTTACCCCCGTGTTCTCCTTGTGTCTTCCTAGCGAGGCTCGTCGGTAGTCTTCTCTAGTTGAACCCCTCATTCCCACACTGTTCAGCTTAACTGACATGTAATTTACATGTCATACAACTTACCTATTGTAAATATACAGTTTGATACTTTTCAATAAATTTATATAGCTAGGCAATCATCACTACAGCCCAGTTGAACTTTATTTGTTTGGCATCCTCTCTTCTAAAAGGTAATCCAATTTCCCAGGTCAGTTTTGCCATAAGAAGCAAAGTGTTTCTCCTATCAACTTGATGCAAGCATGTGTTATCTTTTATAGAAATATTGAATATGTGTCTATAATTTTTAAAATGCTATTATGTCCATTTATATTCAGGTGTGGTGTCCATGACAGTTAAAAAGAAAAAGATTGGGAATGAGTTCCCCTTGTAAATCTCTCTTGTTCTTGGTCATACAATCAGAGTGTGTTTTCCCTGACCACACAGGGTGCAGGAAGGTCATTCACTGGATAAAAGAGTTTATACCAAGTACAGGGTTCTACAAAAACCATGAGTGCCTCAGCTGAGAGACTGTATGACTATCATAAAATATTGACATCTTACAAATTGTGATGAGAGCGCCATCTGATGGAAAGGTATGAGGGCAGGAGCCATCAAGATGACATTTCAGAGATAGAATTTGAGTCCATTTCCCTTTTTGGGTGTAGGTAATACATCTGAGATAGAAGACTTTGCATTTAGGACTCTGTCTTTGGGTTTTCATGCTTTTAAATACCAAAGGTAGTAGACGCTAACTCAGAAAGACAAACATTCCTTTTAATCATTTCACTATATATATATATATATATATATATATATATATATATATATATTTTATTTCTGAGAGAGAGACAGCATGAGCAGGGGAGGGTCAAAGAGACAGGGAGACACAGAATCCAAAACAGGCTCCAGGCTCTGAGCTAGCTGTCAGCAGAGAGCCCGACGTGGGGCTCAAACCCACGAACCATGAGATCATGACCTGAACCAGTCAGAAGCTTAACCGACTGAGCCACCCAGGCACCCTTATATATTTTTTAATTTTAAGAAACATTTTTAATATATAGAGAAACAGCTATCAGTGTGTTTTCATGGCAGTTTATGTCTTACAGATGAATGCTGTACTTTCCACATCCATTTTCAAGTCAGGGGTATGCTTGAGTTAGAACCATCATTTCCTTTATATGGCCACATACCAGTGGTTTTTAGCTCTTAGTGCCCACCTTAAAAGCAAAACAAAAAAATCATCTGTCTTTAGTTCGGTATATTAAGCTTTCTGAAGTTCAGACCAATCAGGCTTATTGTCCACTACCCTTCAGTGAGAAGCTTTCTTTCATAATCTCCAGTGGTTCTAAATCTTGGGTGCACGTTAGAATTATCTTGGGAGACTTAAAAACACCCAGTGTCCAGACCACATCTCATGCCAATTTATTTAGAATTTCTTGAGATGGAGCTCCTAAAAATAAAAAAAACAAACCTCAAACATCAAAAACACTTTTAAAAAACTCTCCAGATTATTTGAATGTTCAACCATGTTTAAGAGCCAGTGATATATTCTAGAACACTGCTTCTCAAAGTCTAATGTCCTTATATATCACCTAAAGGATCTTCAAATGTGGATTTTGATTCAGTGGATCAGGGTAAACCCAGAGATGCTGCATTTCTAACAAAACTCCCAGGTGATGCTGACACTCCATGGACCACAATAGGGGGAGCTAGACTGCGTGCTAGTCATCAACACATTGGTTTCCAGTGTCCTTTTCTTTTTTTAAAGTAGGCTCTAGCTAGGTAAGATGGCGGAGAAGTAGGGAGTTCCATACATTTCACTTGCCCCCATCTCCCAAATGGAGAAGGCCTGAAGCCGTAGGAACCCTTACAGAATCCAGGAGTTTGGGAGGAAAAGGAGACCGAGTCCACTGAGAAAACAACTTATAGCGTGAGTCAAACTGGGGAAGATAAAAAACCGGCTGGGACCTGGAGACACGGAGGGGGGAGCGAGAGCCCCTTTGCGGGAAGCCACGGTGACTCGAGGGGAAAAGAAAGAGCGGCTGAAACTGCTCAAGGAACTGTACCTGTCCCTGGAGAAGAGAAAAACCTCTGCTTGGGACACAGAGTGATCCAATTTCCAGCTGTGTAGCTGACTTTGAGCTGGATGACTGAGGTCATAGGGGACGCCAGAAGAAACTGCTCTTCTGCTCTCCAGCCCAATCTGGAGGGGAGGCGGCGCTCGTGAAGCCACTCTGCCCTCTTCTGGCTCAGCTCAATCCCCAGTGGGGAGGTGGCTGGATTGAAACTGCTTGGAGGGACTTGGCATGTGGGTTTATATTTTGGGCAGTATCAATGGGGCATGCGGACTAAGATCTGGAAACAAGGTGTGGCTTGGGACATAGACCTCAGTCCAACTTGGCTACACACACAGTATAGGGAGATCGGACCCAAAAGAGTGAGTTGCAACACTTGGTCCGAGAAGGGACTGGGAAGTTGCCATTTTTCTCCCTACAACCACCAAGGCAGGACCTCAGGGAGCTGCCACAGTATGCAGTGGAAGCTAAGATCTGCCTACACCAAACCATGACCATCCCCTCTAGAGAGCTGCTTTTTTTTTTTTTTTTTACCGGATCCTGGGGCAAGACCAACATGGATGCACTACCGTGATTAATTCTAGATCAATTCCTTCTATTCAGGTATATTTTCCCTTGTCTCATTTGTATATGCGCCCCTGCCCCCACCCCACCCCCGGTCTGGGCACTGTGGTCATTGGTTTGCTTAAACAGTCACATTTAATCCATTCTCTAGATGTATATTCTATACCTCCACCTCTACCTTTCTGTCTGTCTCTCTTTCTCTCTGGAGTAATCAGACTGTACAGTTTCTCTGAGTAACATTATCTTCGTTTCTTTCTTCTCGCCTCTTACCATATTCTTCTCTTTCTCTCTCTAAATTAAGGCTTTTAGTCTCTCTGACTGGTCATTGTCCAATTTAACTTCCTTCCCACCCTTTCATTTCTCTCTTTGCATATGCTCTTCCATCAGCACTGCATACACCCTGCTTTTTATTTGTAGCTAGGAATTCTGGTTTTATGCTTTTAAACTGTCCTTTATCTTTTGGGATTTTTCTTTTCTATTTTCTTTTCTTCTTCTTTATTTGTTATTTTTATTATTTGTTATTCTTCCTTCCTCTTTTTCCTTCTTTTTTTCTTTTTCTTTTTCCCTTTCAGTTTGTGTGTTTGTTGGATTTGTCTGTGTGTTCGTGTGCCTTTGTTCCCTGTGTGCTTGTCTTTCTGTTTTCTTTTCCAGGGCTACCTTAAGAAACAAGCCAAAGTACACAT